GAAAAGGGTAGGTTTCCTCGTAATAATAATTCATGACTAGAGGAAACTACAAATACCTACCTGTGTGTCTTACTCATGAAATCGTACGCCAGTATAATTCTTCCATAGAGGAGGGTTTGTTGAGCCAGTGCATAAATTGTGGGAATTAGACGCATTGGAATAAATGTAAATGAAGAAAGTCCAGCGATTCTTTTACTCGGGAACAGTACCTGAGAGATGTAAAATTTGAATCTGGACAATACTGGGTACGACTTCCGTGGAGACTGAACCATCCAGAATTGCCCACTAATTACAGAATGGCATATGGGACAGTTAAAGGCTCAGCTCCGGGGAACTGAGTAAGACAACAGAATTGTTAACTGCCCTATAATGATATAATTGCTGAGCAATTAATTAATAAATTTTTAGAAGAGGTACCTCCTGAGAAAGCCAAAATTTATGGTCACTATTTCCCCACATCCCCGGAGTGAAGAAGGATTCTAAGACCACTCCTCTGAAAATTTGGGTGTTTAATTGTAGGCCCAGGAGCAACAAAAATGTACCTAGTTTAAATGACTGTTTGATGACAGGTCTGTCGTTGACGGAAAAATTAGGAGATATCTTATTAAATTTCAGAGTGAAGCATTATGCCTTTACGGCTGACATAAGTAAAGCTTTCCTAAGAGTGGGTTTACAAGAGGCTGACTGGGGTTGTACCCGCTTCTTATGGCCTGAGAATCCTAGTGACCCACTTAGCCCTCTGAAAACCCTTCGCTTTAGGAGCATATTATTTGGTGCTAAATCCAGTCCGTTCCTACTTCAAGTGACAATAAATGCACACCTTAAACGTATGGAAAGTCCATTGGGTGTGACGTCAACTGAAGAGGAACTGTTAATGACTTATGGAGAGGCTCATAAAATAATGCAAAGTGCAAATATCCCTCTGGGGGAATGGAATAGTAATTCGCCCAAATTTAAAAGGGGACAAAATAAGTAAAGATTACCCCGGAGATGAAGTGCCAAAATGTAGTAATGTATTGGGATTAACTTGGGATACTGAGAGAGATTTGTTAATGTTAAAACCTAATAATTACAGTATGCCCAATAAATTAACTAAGAGAGTTTTGCTTGCTGAAGTTTCCAAATGTTTTGAATCACTAGGTTTAGTGTCACCCCTTACTATAAGAGGGAAATTATTAATACAGGAAGCATGGAAACTTAAATGTGCTTGGGTGAAATTCTACCTGAGGAATTTATTAACAGGTAGGATGAATTAATTGGTGATTATGAAAAAATTCCAGTGTTGGAGTTCCCACGCCAGGTGGCCAATCCAAATGGGAAAAATGTACTTCACATTTTTTGTGATTCTTCAAAATTGGCATATGGAGCAGTTGCTTACCTTCAATGTAATAGTGTTATTTCTCTTGTTATGTCTAAGACTAAAGTGTCTCCAGTTAAATCACGCACCTTGCTTAGTTGGAATTAACAGCCATTTATGTAGGTGTCAAATTATCTAATTATATAAGAAATAAGTTGCAGGAGATAAATATTAGCAACAATGTAATTTGGTCTGATAATGAGGTATCCTTACAATGGATTCGTAATGGAAACAGTAAAATTGTGTACGTACAAAACAGAGTCGCTGAAATTAATCAGATGCAAGAGAAGTATAATAGTTTGGGTCAGCATATGTTAACATTTAATCATATACTTGGTGAGGAGAATCCAGCTGATTTCTTGTCTCGAGGTTTACCTTATGCTAAATTGTAAATGCTGCATCATGGTTTAAAGGACCGAGCTGGTTGGTAAATAAAGCTAATTGGCTTGTACAAAAAGGCGTATATTGCTCCTGTTGAAATTACTGTGACCACCACTCCAATAGTTTGTCCTTCATTAGCCCCTTGATATAAATAGGTATTCTTCTTTACCCAAACTAATCAATGTACTAAGTTGGTGTTTAAATTTTTAAACAAGATGAATATTTCAATATTCTTTTCATTCCATTCATTAGGTAAAATAATCTATTAGTAAATCTCTATAGTGCCTTGTTTAATGAGTATATCTTAGGATGTATGTGTGTGTACGTGTGATGGGTATGTGTAGGTACGTGTGATGGGATGTGCATGTACGTGTTGTTGGGTAGTGCATGTACGTGTGATGGGTATGTGCATGTACGTGAGATGGGTAGTGTGCATGTACGTGTGATGGGTATGTGCATTGTACGTGTGATGGGGTTGTGCATGTACCGTGTCGTGGGTATGTGCAATGTACGTGTGATGGGTGTAGTGCATGTACACGTGTGATGGGTATGTGCATGTACGTGTGATGGGTATGTGCATTGTAGTGTCGACTGGTTATGAGCAAGTACGTGTCGATGTGTTTGTGCATGTACGTGTCGATGTGT